TTTTTTTGTTAGTTCATCTTGCTGGTTTTATTTTGCCAAAGTAATCATTATCATTAAAAATGGTTTTAGGGGGCTTCCCTGGTGGCACAGTGGTTGAGAGTCCACCTGCCGATGCAGGGGATGCGGGTTCGTGCCCCGGTCCAGGAGGATCCCACAAGCCGCGGAGCGTCTAGGCCCGTGAGCCATGGCCGCTGAGCCTGTGTGTCCGGAGCCTGTGCTCCGCAGCGGGAGAGGCCACAACAGTGAGAGGCCCACGTACCGCAAAAAAAAAAAAAAAAAATTGTTTTAAATAGTCATTATTTGTTTAGATTTATTCATATGTTTTCTAAATGACTACTCACATTTTCTTGCATCTATTTCCTTCTAATGTTCAGTTTTCTTCTTAGATACATGCTTCAAAAGTTTCCCTAATAAGGGTCTATAGCGAATTCCCTGGTGGTCCAGTGGTTAGGACTCTGCGTTTCCCTGTGAAGGTGCGAACTAAGATCTCACAAGGTGTGTGGTGTGCCCAAAATAAATAAATAAATAAAAAAATTTAAAGGCTCTATAATGGTTAATTCTGTTTTTGTTTGTCATCTGAAGATATCTTTTTTTTTTTTTTTTTTGGGTATGCGGGCCTCTCACTGTTGTGTCCTCTCCCGTTGCAGAGCACAGGCTCCGGACACGCAGGCTCAGCGGCCATGGCTTACAGGCCCAGCCGCTCCGCGGCATGTGGGATCTTCCCGGACTGGGGCAGGAACCCGCGTCCCCTGCATCGACAGACGGACTCTCAACCACTGCACCACCAGGGAAGCCCTGAAGATATCTTTTTAAATAATTTTATACAATTTAAAAGTTACTTTCTGAGAATAGATACATGCATATGTATGGCTGAGTCCCTTTGCTGTGCACCTGAAACTATCACAACATTGTTAATAGGCTATACTCCAATATAAAATAAAAAGCTAAAAAAAAAGGTACTTTCCATTTACAGTTATTGCAAAATATTGACTATATTCCCCGTATTGTACAATACGTCCTCGAGCCTGTCTTACACCCCACAGTTTGTACCTCCCACTCCCCCACCCCTATACTGCACACACACCCCCACCACTGGTAACCACTAGTTTGTTCTCTGTATCTGAGTCTGTGAAGATGTCTTTAATTTGTCCTTCTTTTTAAAGAATAACACCTATTATTCAGATATAATTCACATGCCAAAATTGACCATTTTAAAGTGTGCAATTCAGTGGTTTACAGAGTTGTGCAACCATCGCCATTGTCTAATTTTAGAACATTTTCATCATCCCCAAAAAGCTGTCACTCCCCATTCCCCTCTCCCTCCAGTCCCTGGCAACCACTAACCTACCTTCTGTTTCTATGGATTTGCCTATTCTGGACATTTCCTGTATATGGAATCATGCAATACGTGTCCTTTTGTGTCTGACTTCTTCACATAGCATAACATTTTCAAGGTTCCTCCATATTGTAGCATGTATTAATACTTCATTTTTATGGCTAAATAATATTCCATTGTACCACATTTTATTTACCCGTTCATCAGTTGATGTACATTTGGGTTGCTTCCATTTTTTAACTATTATGAATAATGCTGCTATGAACACTTGCGTACAGGTTTTTGTGTAAACCCATGTCTTCAATTCTCTTGGGTATATACTTAGCAGTGGAATTGATGGCTCATACGGTAACTCTATGTTTAACTTTCTGAGGATCCGTCAAATTGTTTTCAGCAGCAGCTGCACCATTTTACATTCCCAAGAGCAATGTATAAGCGTCCCATTTTCTCCACATCCTCATCAACACTTGTAATTTTATTTTCTGCCATCCTAGTGGGTAGGAGGTGGTATCTCATTTTGTACGTCCTACCTTGTGAGTTTAACACAAACTGTAGCATATACACTCGCTTTATCCATTTAATTTTGTGGAAATCATTTTCATATGTGCAAACCTACTTATTCTTTTTTGCTGGCTTCATGGTAACCCATTGTATGAATATGCAATTCTGCTACTGGTCATAGACTTAACCAGTCCCCTACTGATAAGCTCGCTGTTCTATTTTTTTTCCCCCAATCTTTTGTTATTACAGAAAGTTCTGCAATGGCTGCCTCCTATTCTATTCTTCACGTGCAGGAGTTGCCTGTGATGATCATTCCTAGAAGTGGAATTCTAGATTAAAGGGCATGTGCATTCTTTTATTTTTATAGGTATTGCCAAACTGATTTCCATAGAGAGTGTACCAATTTATGCTCATCAGCAATGTGGGCACGTGTTCTTTAAATGGACCCAGGATCGTAAGATCAAATTTCTGAAGCTAATGTATTCTTAGTATGTACTCCTGTGTTAGCCAACTACTGAATCACTTCTTTTGAGGGGCTTGGGGATAAGGATACACCTCACATGGAGCTTTCCTTGGTTAGCAGTTTCCAAGGAGGAGGTAGACCCTGAAGCGGGTTTGCCTTGGAGCTCTATCCACCCTTCTTTGGTGGAACAGTGGGGACTCCCTGAAGATGCTGGGCAAGATAATCATTTGTTCATTTATTCCTTTTGTCAACAAATATTTATTGAAAGTCTCCAACATGGTGCTAGGTGCTAGGACGGAATGAAAACAAAATCAGACCAGATACTCCTTGCAGTGACTCAGGTTCTTGAAGGGTAGCAGACATTAACACAACTAAGAGTAAGGTAACAAACAGTGAGTGAAATGTATATCATGCTACTTGAGCCTGTAGCAAGGGTCTGAGGGTCAGCAAAGTGTTCCCAGAGGAAACATGTTTGAATTGAGATATGAAGGATGAATAAAAGACTAGCTAGAGGGAAGTCTCTTTTTCTTTTGGTGGAAAAAGCATGGTTAACACATAAAGAAAGGAGGTAATAATACCTACCTCATAGGGTTGTTATGAAAATTAACTGAAATAATTTATGTGCTGTATTTAGCAAAATGCTTAGCATGTCTGTTACTAGGAGAATGCTTGTTTTGTTTCCACTGTTCCATTCAGTCATGAGGAATAGTAAAATTCCAGATCCCCAAGCAAAGCATTGCCACCCTAACTATGTTCTTACTTCATTTTTCTCAACCAGCCAGTTCTCTCTCTTCCTCCATTTTTGGGCTCCCAAGCACTGGAGTACATCTATAACAGTCCACCTTAGAAGCTAATGAGATTAATAACTACCACTTATCTTGCCCTAATCTACACTAAGTACTTTACATCCATTATTTAAGCTAATCTTCATAACAATCTTAGTAGGTAAGAACTATTACTACTCCCATTTTATAAATGAAGAAACCGAGGCAAGAAGAGCCCAAGGACAATACTTAGCAAATTGCAGAGCAGGATTCAAACTCAAGTCTGACTAATTTCTAACCACTACCCTACCATGACTTGGGTTGCTAGTTATCTTCCTTAGGTCTTGTTTACCCAACCAGGTGACAAGCGTATTTTAGGATAAGAACCCGCCTTTATACTTTTTAGTAAAGCAAGAGCTAATATTTATTAATCATCTACTATGTGACACATACTTTACATGCATGATTTCAAATCCTCACAACAACTCTGTTTTATATATTATTTCCCCCATTTTACAGATTAGGAGACTAAGGCTCAAAGGGATTAATTAACTTGGCCAAGGTGGTGGAGACAGGACAAGAATCTTGATATAGGTACCTACCCAGAGATGATGGTCAATAGCATTTGTAGTTGATAGGCGGGAAAGCACTGGGCTATATTCACCCGAACTCTGGTTGTTTCCATCTGGCGTGATGTTTAGACCATGGCAGTGAATATGGGGGAGGGAATTGTTGGAGAGGTGCCCATCTCTTCCTTTGAGTTATGTGAAAATAAAATTTTAGAGCTCCCAATAAGTAGAGCCCAAAGGGTTATTGTGGAATTCCTGTTTTCACTCACTGAACATAGTCTACTGTGAGCAAAGTCCCTCACTGGGAGTTTTGCAGTAGAGGATACAGATAATTTTAACACATACACAATGTTTTCTATGTGCCAGGCACCATTCTCAGTGCTTTATGTCGATTAACTCATTTAATTTCCAGGTGAGGACTGTTATTATCCCATATAACAACTGAAGAAACTAAAGTACCTAAAGGTTAAAGGTTTCGCCCAAGGCCTCTAACTAGCAAGGGTGGGGACACCGGGTAATGTGATTTCAGAGCTGGAGCCTCTCCTAAATAACAGTGCAAGAGGAGAGCCACTGAGTCCAGCGAAAAAAGGAGACGAAACTCTAGTACAATGAAGAGCCAAAAATTCCTTTGGGCTGAGTAGAAAAGTTAATTTCAAAGTGCCTGCCTGCCTGCACGTCTCCATCTGCAACGTTCTCCCTTCCTGGCGGCCTTTCCAGCCCCTCCTCCTCTGACAGCAGACTGAGCCAGGAAAGTAGGTTAAAGGTCGCAGCTGGGATTTGGCTCTTCCTGACTCGTTTAGTCCCTTTTCCGCAGAGCACGCGGAGCCCGCAGGGACGAGGGAGGTCCTGGATTGTCACTCGTCCAGTCCAGGCACGCGGAACCGACAGTCCTAGAACTCAGTGAACCTGCTAGAGTCACCAGCCCCCGAGCTTTGGCCCTCTCCCCTCCTCCTCCCCAGGAGGAAGGCAATGAAACCACCGACAGCCTTCCGCGTGGACGTTCCTCCCCAGGGGCCTCCCCACTCCCAGCGTGTCCCCAGCACTCTATTTCCCGAGATCCGCCATTGGGTGCTCTCACGACAGAACATAGACATTTCTTGGGCTGGGAGGGTGGTGCTTAATATGACTTCCCAGCACCCAAATGGGCATAAAGTTGGACTGTGACCTAGCTCTTTGGTTCAACCGCAAAGCATCCTCAAACTTCATTTAGTGGCCACATTTTAGACGAGGAAACAGACTCTGCGTGCAAAGGGACTCACTCAGCCACATGCAATTAAGCGCAGACACCAGGGCCAGGTGAGTATTTCACATTTTCTTAATGTGACAAACTCATTGAAAACGGAATTTATGTTGTAAAAGGGTCTCACCATTCCAGAGATATCAATGGCAAATTAAACCTCACGACTTGGAGTCTGAGGGGGTGGCGTCTGGAATCCAGGTACCTCTAGGAAATGAAACAAAGTCAGCTTTTCAGTCCCTGGAATGGAGAAAACTGGGAGCAGAGGGTAGGGTGGGGGTCTGAGGCCCTCTGACAATCTGTGCTTTGTTGAAATCTCTGGTGAAGAACCCATCCCCCGCCGCCCGGACTTCATCCCATGCAATATGCAGGCCCTTGGATTGGGGCGTCTCAGGTGTATTTTCCACCGACTTGGTATGAGGGAAAAACGAGCTTTCTGATTCCTTCAAAAGTTTCCTGCAGCAAGAAAAGGCAGTCGAAGTTAACCCACACGCCTTGTCCCATTGCCCACCTCAATGACTCAGAGCCGCAGGACGTGCGTTTCTCGAAACAGCCCAGACCACAAGCGCAAAGAACCGCCCCGGACCCCAGACCGCCCTCGCTTAGGGGCGGGGCGGCGGTCTTGCGTGAGTCAGTGCTCCAGTGCGCGTGCGCGGGCTTTGGGCCGCACCACGGCTATAAGTGCGTGGTGTGCGTCCTGTTCCGCGCTTTGCTGCGGGCTGAGCGTTTGTCTTCGGAGAGGCTTTTGGGTTGTCCTCTCGCGCTGCTGGTTGGCCGACTTTCCTTCCGACTCCGCACTACCAGATATTACAGCGAGCGGGCCACTCACGGCCCTTCCTCCTGGAGGTGAGCGGCCCTGTGGGCTTCCCGGCTGCCCTCCCCCATCCCCTAGGCTGCTTGCGCCGCGCGCCGCCTGGCAATTCCCGCCTGGGACTACGCTGCCGGGAGCGTCCCCCATCGCTTCGCCGCCACCCAGGGCCCCACTCAGCCGCCCAGCCCTGCTTTCTCGCTAGCGTTGGGTTAGGCCCCCATGCCGTGCCCTCCCAGAGCACCCTTAGCATCTCCTTACTGTCACAGCCCTTGGCGGGTTGTTGTAGTAACTGCCTGTTTTCTTGCTTGTCGCCCCTGGACTGTAAGGCGCGTGAGGGCCGGGTTCGTGTCTGCAGGGCCTCCTCCGGTGGCCTTAGTACCTTCCAAGGTGCCTCACACGTTGTGGGTATTCAAGGTGTACTTGTTAAGTAGGTGAACTTGATAGATCTGACTCCCTTAGAATTATTTTGTCTTTAAAAAAGTTTATGGTTGGGCTTCCCTGGTGGCGCAGTGGTTGAGAGTCTGCCTCCTGATGCAGGGGACACGGGTTCGTGCCCCGGACCGGGAGGACCCCACATAATGCCGAGCGGCTGGGCCCGTGAGCCATGGCCGCTGAGCCTGCGCGTCCGGAGCCTGTGCTCCGCAACGGGAGAGGCCACGACAGTGAGAGGCCCGCTACCGCAAAAAAAAAAAAAAAAAAAAAAAGATTATGGTTAACTCGAACCTGACTGAGGTGTGAGGGAGACTTCAAGGCAGGTTGCTTTTGCTTCCTCAAGGGCGTCTTCTTATATTCCCATCTCCGCCCACCCTCACCAAAACCTTACTTCAGGAAGGTTTCTGGTCCATGGACTGTGGAACAGGGACTGTGCGTACCCAACAGGAGAAGTAAAAGTTTTTTACTTTAAGGGAAGTAAAAGTTTTAAGGAATGCTCTTGAATTAGTCCAAGAGGCTAGACTGGTTCCCCAGCCATGGAGTTTACAGTGTAAATATACTTGGAGATTCTGCTATGGTCCTTGTACCCCTGGCTGGCTGAGCCTCCTGCTTAGCTCCAGGGTCAAGGTCAGAGGCACGCATATCCCAAAAGGCTGGAGATTAACCTCGCTCTCTTTCCTCAGGATCCAGAGGCCTTCCAGAAGCAGAAGGCAGCTCTCCTGCTCTACAGAGGAGTGGGATCCTTTGAGCCATGAAGCATATGTTGAACCTCTATCTCCTAGGTGTGGTGCTGACCCTGCTCTCCATCTTCGTTAGACTGATGGAGTCCCTGGGGGTCTTACTGGAGAGCCCATCTCCTGGGAGCTCCTGGACCACCAGAGGTCAACTAGCCAACACAGATTCCCCAAGAGCCTTCCAGACCATCCATCCAGAGGGGTGTGATAAGACCTCCCTCCACCAGCTGTAACCTTGGAACACTGGCCTAAATACGTCCAGCTGTACCAGTTCCTGGGTAGGCAAGCTCAGCATCAGTGTTATCAGAGAACTAACTCTTACTAGGCCCTTGAAGGGCCTCTCCGCCTGCATACTCGTTGCTCTGGATAAAGCCTATTTAATACACAGATATGAGTGGGTCGCCTGTGGCTGTGGAATGGAGTGATCTCACTCTTCTCCCCAGTCCGCCATATGCTTTGCTGTCCTTGGCAGCATGGCTCTGTCTTCTCTTCGATGGGGACTTGTGCTGCAACTTCAGCTGTTGGGAGATCGTGTTATTTTCAACCCTGCTTTCTAAGCATCTGCCAAGAGTTCCTTTGGGCTTGGGTGTCTTATGGTCAGTTTACTTGGTGTTCAGTTTCTCTTCCATGAGAGCTCCTCTCTGTGCGGATAACAGTTGAAGAGGTGTGTGGGTTGGCTGTAGGAAGGGGGAAGGTGGAGTATTCTATGTCCCGTTCTCATTGTTTTACATTTTTAAGTCATTCCTCCAACATAGCGTGCATGTATGTGTGTATTGGTCTGAAGAGGGCAGTGGGATGACAGCGCCTGCTCAGGACCTGGGCATTTTGGCCACCGTGTGGCTTAAATAAATTTTTCTAATGAAATAAAGTTGAATGTGTATTTCTACAGTGTGTCTTGTTGACTTCTGCCCTTGAAATTAGTGGTAGGGAAGGGTCTTAATTCTCAGATCTGAGGTTTCATATCTTAAAACTTTGGAGCAGGAAAGTACATAAAACGCTTTGTTTAAAATATAAAGTAGGGATTTCCCTGGTGGTCCAGTGGTTAAGGTTCTGTGCTCCCAGTGCAGGGATCGTGGGTTCGATCCCTGGTCGGGGAACTAAGGTCCCACATGCCTCATGGTGTGGCCAAAAAACCAAACCAAACAAAAAAAATACAAGGTAAATAAACCTCTGAACTTGGAGGCCGGCGTGCTTGGGTCTGCCCTGTATTAACCAGTTTTCTGAGCCTAGGCCAAGGCCATTATAGTTCTCTCTTGACTCTGTCCATATCTAAAGAAAAAGAAAAATGATCATTTCTTCCAGCCCCTCACCTTCAGTCTCTGGAGAAAAGAAGACTACCAGTCCAGCAGGCCATGGCTTTTTTGTCTGCGTTCTTATCCACCAGACTGACTACTCAGTTCCGATTGTTCTCCAGGTCAGCTGGTAAAATGTGTGGACCTCACAGATGATTGTTTCTGCTCTCCCAGACCTAGCGACTTGGCCTTTCCATAAAAATAGAGGTCTTTTTTTTTTTTCCTTCAATTCACCCCTCCTCCATCCCCACCCCATGTTGAAGCACATTCCCTCCTCTGCCTATGGTAATTTACACACTCGTGTTGGTGTACACATCATTTTGTTTACGGTGAGTTTGATTTACTTTTGCCAAAGGGTAAGAATGGTGCATGGTGTCCTCTGCTAAGTCAGTTTTACTTCCTGAGTGTTCTTAAGCTTAAGTGCCACTACCCTAGAAACCAGTGGTTTGGGCATCATTTATTGCACTATGGTAGTCATTAGAGCTGTTTACAAATATTTCCAGCTTCCCACCTTCTGGGCACATGATAAGATTGTACTCCCTGGTCTTTTGTGGTTGGCTGGGCTTATGTGCCTTGTGTTGGTAACAGAGTACTCTCAAAAATATAGTTGGCTTTTTATCTCTGATTTCAGGCAGTGTCATGTGACAGTAGCTGCCCTTTTCTAGACACATTTCTTAAATTTGATGTCTTTTCTCATTCTCATGCTTCCCCAATTACTTTGGGGCATTTTGATCTTTTCAGTTGGAGAGCTGCACCTGAAGTCTCTTCCCCAAGCAGTTTAGCTTAATTGAAATGGTTTACTGGGTGCCACAGCCTTAATGAGGTCTTGGCTCTAAAACAATTTAAACTGCTCAGAGGTTTTAAAAAAGATATGATGGCCATACTGTTGTTTTGATCTTTCTTATGAGTAGGGTAAGCAACTGTCCCTGTGCCTGGCAGGGTTGCAGGACTTTCAGTGTTAAAACTCGGACAGTTCTGGGCAAACCCGGACGGTTGGTCACCCTCTCTACAAAGCTGAGTTTGAATTGTCACTAGAGTTTGAATTGTCATATGAGTGACTTTTGTCACTCCAAACATTTCTCCATTTTATCTATTCCCACTTAGGGATGAGAAGCAGTTGCTTCTGTGAACCAGTATGATTTCCGTAGTCTCTCTGGATCCCTATGGCTACTTGTAAGCTGGCCAGTTCTCTTCTGAACTCATCCTGCAGTGCTTTGTCAATGCAACCAATTGTATACAATTCCTGCTGCTAAAATTCTGTTACCTGATGCTTTCTCCTAGTTTATTAGGTAGATTATTAAAGTATGACTTCTAAGTTACTGCAGGCAACAGTTTTACCAAATACTTTGCTACTATATGACATGGATTGCCATCCTTCCAGCCTCCAATAAGATTTCTCTGCTGCCCTCCACATGTTATTGTCATACATATTAGGGTTTTTTGTTTTTGTTTTTTTGTAGTATGCAACACCCCCCTTTAGATTCCAATCTCCATATCAGTCAGGTCAAATTAGGTTATGCTGCAACAACAACCCTGAAATCTTCGCAGCTTCAAACAGAACAATTGCCTAAGGATGCCCTACCAAGAAAAAGAATTGGGGGCTAGTCAAGAAATATTCCCTTCCCTCAGGGTAAGGGGCTTTCATCACATCTGCAGAGTGGAACATCACAATCACTAGGCTGCTGTGTCTCCCACTTGTCCCCTCTCTCCTTACTGCATTTATCCTGTCCCTGTTCCACCAGTGTATATTAGGTGTGTAGCACATGGCTTGTCTTTTTAGATTATAGTTCTCTAGCTCACGCCACATCTGAAACTGGTATAGGAACTACTGTGCATCACTCAGATTCTTTAATTTGAACTTGACGTTGTGACTATAGGGAACTCTTGGGTTGTTTCCTTTGGTGGGGGGGAACATATAGTGAATATATTCCACC